ACTTTCCCTACCAGTGTATCCCTGGTGCCTTGTGCCGTGCTGGAACGTAGTGGATGCTTACTGAACATTTCCTAAATGGATAAATATTAGAAACCATAGAGTCGAACAGACCTTCTCTTACCTTCAGTGTTCAAGGATGACTTTTCCCACCATGGGTGAAGAATGATAACACGTGGTATCATTTTCACATATTCTTCCAATAGGTTTATGTGTCAACATGGCTTGGGGAAGAAAATGATTTCTCCTAGCATGCTAATCAAATAAAAAATATATGGTTACTCTATCTAATTTCTCTGCGTGCACTTTGAGGTTAAGAATAGATAACTTTTTATGCTACAAACAATTTACTCTTTTAAATGGCATAGCCTAAAGTGACATCATTCATCTTTGGATATTTAGAATGGTAATTTGGTTATTTTTCACAAAATCCTATCAGTACAATAATTTTTACTTAACTATTTTTGTTTCTGATTTTTGTATGTGAAATTTTTTTCACTAAATCGCATATATAGTCTGCCTAAATCTGAATAGGATATCAAATTTTTCTTTATTGTAAACAAGTTTATTTTATATTTCTTATTTGTAATGAATACAATTAGCATTTAATTATTAATTAGCACTTCATAGTTATACATACAGTTTGAGGCCAAAAAACCCTGTAAATTTGAAACCAGAAATGTTTTTCAATTACATTTTCCTAACATTCATAGAATGTTGTTAAGATTGTGTAGTTTTAAAATTCTGTTTAAAGTAGTTAAAAATCTCTAGGCATTCGTTTTATACTTTTTAAAAACAGTGCAACTAATTGTTCTGTGATTATTTATTTTCTAGTTGGGATTACTTAAATATATTTAGCTCAAAAAAAGCCCTGTTTTCACTCATTCTACTTGACTTTACAGTATTATAAATATGTTATTATGGAAGTAAGATCTGTCAAAATGAGTATTGTCAGTATACCAATAGATAATAATTCATCTGAAAAAATATGGTAAATGTTGCATTTAGCTTTAATTGGGCAGTGCAAAATTGATTTAATTTCATTTGTCAATCATTACTTCTCTAGGAAAATATAAGAACTGTTCATCTGCTTTAATCTATTCTGACTAATATAGATTAGATGCAGAGGTTGAAAAATGCAATTATCTTGGATTCTGCCCTTAAATGAGTATATTTTAGTTCGTTAGTGGAATAATCAGGTTTGAAAGATAAAGGTTAAAACTTTCTATGATATTTTATAAACTTTGAAAATCATAAACAAATATATTTTATAAGACATTTTATAAAGAAGAAAAATAGTAGTAGTTTAATGCTAAATTACTGGTTGGTAGGAATGTTGGATTCTAATGTCCACATCTCTTCTGGTAACCACAAAACCTCAGGAAACAATGTACTTTTAATAGTGTTAACTTCCTTTCCACGTTTTATGGAGCATATTCCTTTAGATTATGTTTAATCTTGCATAGAAACTTAACTGCTAAGTTTCGTTAATAATAGAACTTATGTTTGCCTGGCACTGGTGGCTCCTGCCTGTAATCCTAGTTACTCGGGAGGGTGAGATCTGAGGATTGCAGTTCAAAGCCAGCTAGAGCAGGGAAGTCTGTGAAATTCTTATCTCCAGCTAACTACCAGAAAACCAGAGGTGGGCTGTGGCTCAAAGTGGTAGAGTTTTAACCTTGAGTGAAATAGCTCAGGGATAGATAGTCCCCAGACCCTCAGTTCAAACCACAGGACTGATTATGAAAATATATATATATATATATATATTAGACTCAATGTTTGATTTATAATTTCACAACTGCTTCAAAACCTGAACATTAAATACCTGTCTATAAAGTACAATTATAAAATCCTCGGCCTTATCTCCAAGTACTAACTGGGAGCTTTGAAATAATTGACTGTGTACACAGGGAGTTTCTCGGAGAAAATACCCTATGTATCATAGTGGCTGACAAGTTTCCTAACCAACAGAGACCTGTACGGTTGTGGAAGGACTATGTCTGTCCCCTTCAGCACTAGGACCTCCTCCTCCTTGATCTCTTGCTTGCTCCTTAACGTGCTCTCCAGGATTCTGGCAGAGAATGACGTTCTTCCCTCTGCAAACACAAAATGTCGCTTTGCTGCCGTCAGAGTTGTAGTCACCAAGTTCCCCATTCATGTGGAACTTCATATCACGTGATTATTAGTTACATTAATCTCCTTGTCTTATTTTATACTTTTATTTACAAAGTTCATTTACAAATTTGACTATATTCCATTTCTGAAAGACAGTGTCCTTTTATGATTTCATATGTAGATATATCACATCTCTACGTTAGCAATAAAAATAATATTGGCTTTTAATCACTTCTTTTTATCAACCATTCTATTATGTCTTTGACACTATGTATTATTATGTGAGGATATGTAGGACTATGTATGAAAACATCTTTAATTTTTTACTTTACACATATTTATTACTATTAAATTGAAAAATATTACATATTATCTTACTACCCTTACTAAATTGAAAAATACTACAAGCTTTGTGTGTGTGCCTTTTTAGGGTTTTTTAAAAATTAGTACTTTATAATTCTTGATATCAGGGCCTAAATTCCTCTTTTTAACATTTCAAGAATGTCAGTAGAAGTCAGTTGCCTTTGCTCTATCTAGTATATGTACACAAAAGTACAGCCAGTATGTTTCAATGCAGTATGGTTTACCTGAGCATCAATGGTCTAAAACAGAAAAGAGATCGGAGGGCATTGCTACAGGCCGACCAATGATTCCAGCCATCGCAAGTGAATATCCTAATTCATTTACATCCTTACATTAAACAAATATAGATAACCAGTGCTTTCTGGGTATCACTTAATAAACTCAGAAATCATGTCTGAGTCTCTTTAGAAAATGTGGCTTCTGACAGTAGGCTACAAATATAGAAAAATTTTGAAAAGAATGAAAATTTATTTTATATAATCATTGTAGAGCTTTTATAGTAGATGGTTGTCTATCTTATAGAGCTAATCAGTGTGTTCTAATGTGTATATTTTTAGCTGGGAGGGGTTGGTTCACACCTGTAATCCTTGTTATTCAGGAGGCTGGGATCTAAGGATCATGGTTCCAGGCAGGAAAAGCCATGGAACTCTTATCTCCAATTAAACACCAGAAAACCGGAAGTGGCGCTGTAGCTCAAGTGGTAGAGTGTTTGCCGTGAGCTGAAGAGCTGAGGGACAGGGCTCAGGCCCAAAGTTCAAGCCCCATGTCCGACCAAAAAATTAAAAAAACAAAGCCAGCCAAGGCAGGCAGGAAAGTCCAGGAGACTCTTATCTCCAATTAACCAAAAAAAGCAGGAAATAGAGCAAGTGGTAGAGTGCTAGCCTCGAGTAAATGAAGCATAGGGCCAGCACCCAGTCCCTGAGGTTAAGCCCAAGGACCAGTACAACACACACACACACACACACACACACACAATGTATGGATTTATATGGATATCTGTTCATTAGAAGACGACAACTTGAGCAGATATTAATTTCATTTTTAAAAGGCTCTGTTCTTTGTAGCTATATTTCCAAGCCAGTAACCACTATGGTTTAATTACATAATTTTAATTATATAAGCATCATGCAGAAATAGTTGAACTTAAAATGTTTCTGGAGAATTTATTGTCAGAGTTAAAATGCTAGAAACCACCATCTTAATGAATTTTTTAAAATAAAACTTCTGGAAGTTCATAGTCAAGATCACAAATCTTAAAATATATACACAAAATTAAAATGTGCTTTAATTGTTTTTTGATTTCCATATCATCATTTTAAGTACTTAGCTCTAAATTCTCCAAGGAAGAATGGGGTCACATTCATCATGGTAACACATTGCTACTCTATAAACAATTTCTTTTACTTCTATAACTTATGTTTAACTAAATTGTATTTTAAATGCTACTTGTTAAACCTCTTAAGGAATTTTTGTTGAGACAAGTAATATGAAAACTTCAGAGGTTTTGTACAACTATCAGACTTCTAATTAAGAAACATTTAGGAACTATTTATTTTAAAAACTGTTTTAGAAACTATTCCTGATTAAGAAACAGGAGTTGGAAACCAACCTTAAGAAAAATCATTTAATTACAACAAGTCTCCTTTGTACATGGTAAATGGACAAATGCTCAGAATAGAACTCAAAAATATATACTAGTCTAGATTTTCTGAAAATGTCTTGCACATTATGAATTTAAAGATTGTCTTTCAAAACCCATCAGACAACATTGAAATTTAAAGGTGAACTTTAAACCAATAAAAACACTGGCCTTAATAAATGGTAGTGTACATTTCAAAATTCTGACAAAGCACAACTGTGATGCAGAAATTCTCAAATGGTTATAAAAAATGTTCCTGTTGACTGCATATAAATTATTTTTCAATACCTAGTGCTTATCTTTCTTTCTGGGGAAGGAATGATTGATTTTTTTTTTCCCTACATGCAGAATTTGTCCCAATGGACAATATTGTTGTATTATCTAGTGTTAATTTGAGGTAAGCAAATTACAATTCTGTAAAAATGAATAAAACCTTAATATAAAACTTCATATAAGGAAGCCTATTATTCAGGTATTGGAATTAAACAATCTAAAAGACACACTTAGTGCAGTGCTTCCAAGTTTGCTAGCATGCTTTGTTCTGTTACGGTAATACATTTCATTTGTGACCAGTTAATGAGTTTATTTGTACTCCCTGAAGAAATACTTGTCTCCAAATTGCAACTAATACATAGAAAATTATTATCTATCTACAGGTGCTTGAATATTTGTCATATTGTCTAAGATCATAACTGATGTTCAACTATCTACAGTGTTTCTGAGTGTTTTCACAGCCAGATTACATAGGCCTCTTAATTACAACAATTTATCATAAGACTTAATGAAGAACTTCTATGTCTTTCTGTATCTTTCATTTGTAGTATTGCTTAGAAATTTTTGCAAATAAAATGATTTCTCTGTGTTTACTATGTCTTATTTCCACTAGCTTCAATGGCTGTTGGACAATTACGAGACAGCAGAAGGAGTGAGCCTTCCCAGAAGCACCCTATACAATCACTACCTTCGACACTGTCAGGAACATAAACTGGACCCAGTCAATGCTGCCTCTTTCGGAAAACTAATAAGGTCCATTTTTATGGGGCTACGAACCAGGAGATTGGGTACCAGGTGAGTATTGGGACATAGGATCATAAGCTTTCCATTTCAAGCCAAAGCAGCTAAATATGTTATTTGAACAGAAGAACTTGATTATAGATAATATATGGTAGAAATATAGAGTGAACTCAGTTTATAAAAATCCATACAAAAAGGCATGTGATTATTCAGTGAACACTACCAAATCAGAATGACATAATGTCCTAAATAATAACTCACAGAATTTGGGAGAAGAACTGATTCTCAGACTATAGATAGCAGACCAACTTGTTAATGTGAGATTTTACTTTTAAATATTAATATAAATGTTAATATATATCACAGTATTTTTGAAAATAACCGTAGTATGAGAAAATTTCGTAGTGATTGCAAAACTATCTCCAGATTATGAAAAAATTATATATTTGTCTTTATTTTTTTAAAAAAAGCTACTTTATTTGAATGGAGTAAGAAACTGAAGTAGTAACTTGTATTTCATAGAATTGAAACCAATTAAAAGTCATTTGGTAAAGTTGCTAAATATTGGTATTTGAAGTCCTTGGTAATAACTTGGTCCTATTTTACCTTCCACTGGCCTTTTTAAATCTTCTTTTTCTGCTCCTGATTTTGAAACCATGCAAACACTAAAATAAAAATATGATATAGTTGCATAGAGATAAATAATGTAAAGTAAGAGCTACCAGTTTCTCTTTTTTTATTTTTGAAATAGTGTTTTTACTTTTCAAACTATGATGAAATCAGAGTTGTGAACCTTGTTTTTTTTATAAATTGAATAGAAATATTTTCAGCAGGTATGCATGAAGATAGGATATATTTGATTTGAAAATCTTATAAAATGTATACTAGGAAGTATTAAATAGAGAACAAACACTACTCTGAGGAGTTATTTTTAATCAGTTATAGTTCACAACTTCAAATTATTGTAGTAAAGAATGTTTAATCGTAGTAAAGCTAACGGTGCCCTAGTAGTTAACTTCATTATATAGTTAGAGTGAAAAGAGGATTGAATATTGTCAGGGAGAAAAGATTCACAACTCATTTCAAGGTTTATGGCTAAGACCCCTGTAACAAAAGACAGATTGAGAAGAGAGAAGCTGTTTCTTTGGTATAAGCTTTAAATGACAGAGATATTTCAGAGGTTAAAAACCCACAACGAAACATGACTTAACACAAATGGTTATGATCTAGAATTTCTAAGTTAGATGGTAGGATGACTCTGTAAGGCCCATATACTGGATTTTTCTCTTCATCTCTAGAGAAAAAGATAGCATAGGGTGATGCAGGTCTGATGGTCTGTTTTCAAGGAATGGCAAGCTAAGTTTTAAAGCCCACTTTAGTGGGAAAAAGAGAAAGGGAATTTTTTTTTCTACTTCCTCTGTCCTGTTTTTGCTGTTTTTTTCAAATGTGAAAATGCCATGTTTTGGTGTCCTGAACCTGAATCCTAGATCCGTTTTATGAGATACAAGATCTCTCTGTGTTCTAATTGCAGATTTATTTCTTTCGCTTGCATTTAAGCATATGTATAGCTTTCAGATTGCTGTAGGCTTGATTCTTTCATAAATGTGTTTTCTTCCACCTATACTTCAAAGTTAGTATCTTTTAAATTGCAGAGTATGATTGTCTATTCAGACTAAAACCACTTGCTTTCATTCCTCTGAAGAAAAGCTTTTTGTTTCTCTAGTATTCTTTTTTTCTCCCAAAGTAGGAAAATCATTATTTAGGGACCTAAACTACTATCTCCTAGCTGATGGCTCAGTACTTACATGTGTGATGCCAATATTTTGAAACTCTGGGCTTTATTCAACATTCTAATAGCTGTATTGTTGTGCTGCTTTTGTTACTGGAAAAGAATTCAATGAATCCTATTTTGAAGTCCATTCAAACCTTGAAACACATCTGTTAAGTAGAAAGGGACAAATTGGGGTTGTTTGGGTTTGTGAATGAGTAGAATCCATATTCTATAAGTACATTTTACAATATTACAGCTTTTGCTCTCTGCCGTCCCCAACAATTATGTCTCTCCTGTTCCTTTAAAAATTGTATGTAGTGTTTGCAATTGATTTGGAAAGCAAAGCCTAGAAGAATAAGGGGAAAATAAGTTCTGTGGTTGAGTTTAAATAAATGAAATGTGTGAAAGATAGAGGAACTCTTAGTGGACAAAAACTGATGGTGGCAGGGAGATTTTTCTAGCCCAGGACATTGGTATCCAGTTTCTATCCCAAGCCAAAGAACAGAAGGAAATCAGTAAATATTGTGAAGCACATTAAATAGATTTTTAAATGAACTTTATATAAAATATACGTCATTTAAATTAGCGGGTAAAATTATTCAAACCAGACCATATCTTTGCAAAAGTTTTTGGACTTAAATAAGCAAAAGCTAAATTAAAAAAAATCACTATTTCTAAGCCAAGGCAAATCAGACTTTTGATTTGATCCTATCTCCAAATTTGAACAAAGGTAACTATGGATAATCTTCTCTTCCCAAGTGCTTACCAATAAAGTATAAATTACTACTCCCACCTAAAGCAAAATGCTGTTTTGCAGGAAACAGAAAAGAAACCCATCTATTTGGGAGTCTTACAGAGAAAACAGCAGGGAGTTTTTGTACTTTTTCCCATTATTAATACCTCCCACTTCCTATCACCACTGTCTTTAAAATTTGTAAGAGAGAACACTACAAATTGTGTTTGTGGTGGTGTTTTTTTCTCTCTTTTTTCCACTGGATTTTTGAGACTACATCTAATCTCTCCAAGTAGAAGACCTTACTTTATAGACATCAGGTTTTTATTTCTGTTTTCATTTACGGAAAGCGTGTAGGCATAGAAATGCCCTATAGTTTTTAACTAACAGTTTGTGTATATACTATGAATTTAAGATCACTTTAAATATATGGAAGTTCATCTAGCCAGGCTCTGGTGGCTCACACCTGTAATCCTAGCTATTCAGGAGGCTGAGATCTGAGGATCATGGCTCAAAGCCAGCCCGGGCACAAAAGTTCGTGAAACTCTTATCTCCACTAAACCACCAGAAAACTGGAAGTGGTGCTGTGACTCAAGTGGTAGAGCACTCACCTTGAGCTGAAGAGCTGAAGGACAGTGCCCAGGCCCAGAGTTCAAGCCCACAACCAACCAAAAAAAAAAAAAAGTTAATCTTAGAAGTAAAACTGTTTAATTTTTATTAAAAAAAAATTGTTCCACCCTACCCTTCCAATTTGTTTTGTAAATGAAAGAAAAAATTGGAAAGAGTACTGATGTCTGTGTATGTGTGTGTGTGTGTGTGTGTGTGTGTGTGTATGAAAAAGTATTTTCTCTTTGCAAGAATTTACATATTTAAAATTTTGCAAGTCCCATTCAGAGCAGAACTTGTCATGTAGTTAGTATTGGTTTGACTAACTTTTTAATATTTCCAATGTTTATTGTTCTTTGTGAAGAGGAAATTCGAAGTACCATTACTATGGGATTCGTGTGAAGCCAGATTCCCCCCTTAATCGTCTCCAAGAAGATATGCAGTATATGGCTATGAGACAGCAGCCCATGCAACAGAAGCAAAGGTAGACTCTGCTGTTATCATTGATACGTCAAAGCTGTGTGTTTCTTAACTGCTTAGGTCTCTCTTCTGAACAAATAGAGTGCCTAGGCACACAAGAATGGGGCTACTCTCGGCATGTCTTCACTAACTATGGATAATTCTTCAATCTGATTTAGCGTTTCAGTGATACTATTTTCCAGATTTCAAGAAAACACTCTGCTTTCTTTCCATGTGGCTCCTTAAAAAGGTGCCATCCTCCTAAACTATTCCCAAAAGGAAACACCAAAGATAAGGCGCAAGTTCAAGCAAATACCAACCAAAGAAATGGTTTCAGTATTCATCAGTCTCTGACTTGCTTTTCTTTTTCTTTCAGTTTCTTTTTTTTTTTTTTTCTGGTCAGTTGTGGGACTTGAAATCAAGGTCTGGGTACTGTTCCTGAGCTATTCTGCTCAAGGTTGATGCTCTACCACATTGAGCCACAGCTCCACTTTCAGTTTTCTGGCGGTTAAGTGGAGATCAGAGTCTCGTGGACTTTCCTGCCTGAGTTTGCTTCAAACTCAATCCTTAGATCTCAGCCTCCTGGGTAGCTAGAATTACAGGTGTGAGCCACCAGCACCGTGCTTCTTACTTGCTTTTCAGTACATTGTTCAACTCATACTTTTTGACCAAATATGAACTCATACAGGATGCTTTAGAGTTTGTATTTTCTTTAGTTTTAACTTTTACAAACATAGACTTGCAAATATTAGAGCTCTAGGAGATGTCATACATTTACAAATGCATGGGTGAATGGATGTGTATAGAAGGATAGATGGAAGGATGGAGAGTTTAAAAATATCTGTATCTAGTCTGGCTTTGCAACTTTATGAGAATCAGAGCATCAGTAGTCCAGTTAATGAATCCAGATCAAACCAGATAAGTTAAATGACTTGTAAATGTCTACATCCTATTTGTATAGCCAAGTCCCATATGATTTATGACACAAATTTTAGAGAAAATAAAATTGTTTTGCCAGTAAAACTAAAAAATGACCTGAAGTTCTCATTTCTATTTTCAGTTTGGACATATGAAAATAGAAAAGAGGCCTCCGACTTTTTCCTAAATCACTGATCTGGAATGGTTAGTTGTATTTTCCAGATCTTTATGTCCATACTAGTTCATTCAGAAGTATTAGCTCTGAGACAACGGTGATTATATCACACAGCATCTTTTCATCTGTTTAATGAAAGTTGCAATTGAAATTGTAATCTGAAACAAATATTAAGGGACTTAATTGTACACATGATTGCTATTTTATATCTTTTACATTTACTTGATGTAAGGACTCTCATTTAAATCTGATTTCCAGCAACATCACCATATAGAACATAGCCATGAAGACTGCAAATAATTGGAAAGAGCTTTTCATTGAAAAGTAGATGATAGGGAACCCATACTTCCACATACTTGAGGAGATGAATCCCTCCTCCAACTATTTACCAAAAGAGAAGGAACAGATTAGAGTCTACTTAGTGGACAAGCAATCAGCAGTTAATGAAGGTTGGAAGTGGAAGTAAACATGGTCACCTATTTAATTTTGGGTCATTTGAACAGCAGTCCATAGATATTCAGTCAAAGGACAGATGGGCCACGGAGTTCCGTAATCCCTTTGAGTATAACTCTTGTGATTAGAAACGTAGTCTGGCACAATATAATAACGTTTGCTTATTAAAGTCATTATGGACAATCAAGAAGAGAAAAAATATGTGATTTTTAAAATGTCCTCTGTTGAAAATGTATGGGAAAATTACACTTAATTGAAATAATCTTCAGTTTTAAAGGAAGTCACCCATGGACTAATTTACCTATCCTTACTGAGGCAACATCTAAATTAGGTATAACAAGAGGGAATCAGTCATTTTCAGCTCTTACTTGTTTGCTGCGGCTTATTTGTAATATTTAACACATTGGACAGAAAATATTGGTCTTAATGTATTTTGGTTGGTCTTCCAAATCCTGATGTAGCAAAACTGGTACAATCAAGCCAGTTGCTTTCAACCATGTGTTAAAGACTCAGCATTCTGAATATGTTAAACTATATTTGTGGTTTCTGCAACAAATATGAATAGCTGTTTGACATGGAATATATACATCACATCTAAATGAAATAAGTTCATCAAATGTTAGAATTGAGAGGAAAAGACCAACTATTTCAACCCATCTTCTTGTTAAGAAAATGGAGCTTATAAAATAGAGATAAATTATCCATGACCATATAGCAAGTTGGAGAAGAACATAATTCTCTTATCTTTATTATTGTGAAATGTCTATTCTCCAACAAGTAAGATAACCCAACATGGAAGGAAGCATGTGAAACTCATTTTGAAGAGCATGTTTTAATTAAATGTGGACATGTACCACTTACTACTGCTCTATCAGCAGAAGTTTCATTCATAAACTTAATAGTATGCAGGGGAACACAATTTTGGTAGAAACATTGTATGAAAAATGACTTTTTGGCCAGGCACTGGTGGCTTGTGCCTGTCATCCCAGCTACTCATGAAACAGGACTGAGGATCATGGTTTGATATTAGCCTGGACAGGAAAGATTGTGAGACTTTTATCTCCAGTTAACCAAAGAAAACCTGAAATGGAGCCTGTGGCTCAAGTGGTAGAGCACTAGCCTCAAGCACAAAAGCCTGGGATAGTACCCAGGCCCTGAGTTCAAGCCTTAGGACCAGTATACACACACAAACAGAATCCCCTCGTTTTTTCCTAAGGAGTGAGGAAGAATATCATTAGAAGAATATGCCTAAGTTAGGGTTCATAGAGTAGTTGAAAGTACTTTGTTTAGAAATGGAAGGTAGAGGTTTGAGCACAAGCTGTCTCGTGCTTCTATATGAAGCTCAATTTGACTTTATTGAGCCTCAGTTTTACATCTGCAAAATTGAAATTAATAACAGACTACTTGCAGATTGTTTCAAAGTTCAAATGACAAAAAAGTAAGTAAAACACAATCATTATTAACTATATTATTATACTATATATTATATGTTATATATTATACTATATACTATATAGTATAGTATATTATTATGCTATAAGAAAAAACTGTAGGAATACTCCGGTGTTCTGGAAGAGAATGCAGCCTGGAAATTGTCAGATGTGGCTCCTGTTTGCCAATACCTCTGATGATTTCCAGCTTTGACTGATGTTAATAGTCTATCATTCCTTTCCTAGACCTGAGGTTATTAAGAGCTAAGTGTCTAGGACTGGTTAATTGCTCTGAGACATCTGAGGAGGACCAGAGTTTATAGAGAGATTATCTAGTATCAGCGCATTTAGATTTTGGAGATGAATAAAGAATCTTGGCACTGATTACTAGAGTAGCTCTTGTTCACTATGTCAGTCTTTAGTACCTGAAATAATTATTTATTTTCCATCCAAGTAAAGATGATCTTAAGCAATTATAACTTAGCAACTGTGGACCTGAAGTAATTCAAAATTTGACAACAAAACAGTCAACACTTACTCTGCTGATGTCTTTGTTCAATATTACAAGTGTTCTTCACTAAGCATCCTATATGAAAGATCTTGTTTGGTAATTATCTTCTTAGTTACTGATAAGTAAAAGATGCCTAGTAATTTTACTACATGAGAAAGCTTACAAATTTATTTATTTTCCTAAATAGAGCTTCAGGGTTTATTGTTGTTGTTGTTTTGTTGGATGTCTTGGTATCAAGTAGCACCATATTGTCATTTTCCTAATAAAGGCATCTCTCTGCTGGAATCTGTGTAATAGAAGAAAGAGCCAGTTGTAAATATATGTGTATGTATATACATATATATGCTGAAAAAGCATATATTAAAAAAAAGCATAGTTAACTGTAAATCACCTGTGGTAAGAGTACTCAATGAAGATATTCTTGAGATAAAAGATGTTGATGTCTGCTCCTGCTGCTTTTGTGTATCAGTACTTTAGGCTTGAACTCTGGGTCTAGCACTGCCCCCAGCCTTTTTCTCAAGACTAGCACTCTACCACTTGGAGCCATAGCTCTGCTGTTGGCTTTTTGATGGTTAATTGGAAATAAGTTACTGACTTTCTTGCTCAGACTGGCTTCAAACTGCACTTAGCCTCTTGAGTAGCTATGATTAAGGTCTCTTCTAATGTACCATTCTTTACACATAGAAGAGCACTGAACAGGTATTTATTTATTTATTTATTTTTGGTCAGCCATGAAGCTTGAACTCTGGGCCTGGGCTCTGTCCCTGAGCTCTTTAGCTCAAGGCTAGTGCTCTATCACTTGAGCCACAGCACTACGTCTGATTTTCTGGTGGTTTATTGGAGATAAGAGTCTCACAGACTTTACTGCCTGGGCTGACTTTGAACTGTGATCCTTAGATCTTAGCCTTCTGTGTAGCTAGAATTACAGGTGTGAGCCACCAGCGCCTGGCCAGATTGTTTATTAAGTGAATGAATGAGAATATCATTCATTCTAGCTGGCAACTACCTCTCCCCTTCGTCTGCAGCAGTTAACACATCTACTCCATTTGAATTTAAATTTTTTTCTCCTCTCCTTACCAAATTTTAGATGTAGAGCTAATAAACAAATATTCTGCAGATTACCAAAAAAATATATTGAAAGATGTGATTCTGTCATTCATTGATTATCAAAGTTGATGCCAGAAACCATGACTTGAACATTTAGTGCGATATCAAAGCTTAATTACTGAAATACTGATTTATTCTAAAGGAGTGAATCTCTTTACATTCGGTATTTCCTTGTGAACCATTCATATTCATATTACTTGGTTCATTTCAGATAAGACTTTCTGCTCTATTTTTTTCCAAAATGGATTAGCAGGTAGCAATAGAATATTCTAGCCTCTTATCCTAAATGTTAGGTCAATTTTTCTTTGTTCAATAAAATGATTGTATGATATGGAATTACAAACACAATGAGAACTGCTTGCCTGTAGTTTCATATTTTTTCATTTTGCATAAACATTGTTCAGCTGCTTTTAAAAACATTTTCAGATTTT